CTAATTCTGCGTAGCTAGGAAAATCGCTCAATTTAGGGAGCATTAAATAACTACCATTCTGTGGAGATGGTTACATCCAGGGAAGGTGTCATGCACTAGGAGGCAGCAAGCATTTCTAAGTGAAGACTCCCATTTTTATCAGGTTTTTTACTACACACAGAAACGATTAACAAAACATGTGCATATCCATGACACCATTCAGGGATTATCGATGATTCAAACTTAAAGCTGGAACGCAGAGATATTATCTAATCTATTTATCTCAGACAAAAGCAATTTATTTTCAAAGATCAGCATCTCTAGAATGGCATTCAGCAGAGTGTGTGTGTGAGTGTGTGTGTGTGTGTGTGAGTGTGTGTGTGTGTGAGAGTGTGTGTGTGAGTGTGTGTGTGTGAGTGTGTGTGTGTGTGAGTGTGAGTGTGTGTGTGAGAGTGTGTGTGTGTGAGTGTGTGTGTGTGTGTGTGTGTGTGTGCGCGTGTGTGTGTGAGTGTGAGTGTGTGTGTGTGTATGTGTGTGTGTGGGTGCGTGTGTGGGTGCGTGTGTGTGTGTGAGTGTGAGTGAGTGTGTGTGTGAGTGTGAGTGTGAGTGAGTGTGTGTGTGTATGTGTGGGGGGGTAGGGGGGTGCAGCAGGAGATCGGTGGTACAGGTGGAGGAGACTTTAGAAGTCCTTATAATGAAAACCTCAAAATTACAGTGAAAATTACCCAAATTCTGGTGGGGTTTTTTTTTGTTTTTTTTGTTTTTTAAATGCTATTGGTTTCCCTCTTCCTAAATAACTCCAGAAAAGGACAGACCTTCCCAAGAATGTGGAATTTTTACTTGACACACTCTGGAGCCAACCAGTCCACTCTGAGCAACCATGACAGAAATCCTGGAGCTCCACAAATCTTCGCAAGCCCCTGAGGAGACGCGGAGTGCGAGGGAAAGGAGCCAGGAGGAAAGGTCAGGGAAGGCCAAAGGGACACACATGGGCCGCTTGGACAGCAATGAGAGTGTCTGAAGGTCATTCAAGAGGCTTGAATACGTTGTGGGCCAGACCCCAGAACGTTAAAGCCTCCATTCTTTTTCTTTTTTTTTTTAATTTCAGAGAGGAAGAGAGAGAAACATCAATGATGAGACAATCGTGGTTAGCCACCTCCTGCACGCCCCCTACTGGGGGATCGAGCCCACAACACCGGAATGGAACTGTGACCTCCTGGCTCATAGGTTGACGCTCCATCACTGAGCCATGCCGGCCGGGCAAGTCTCCGTGCTTCTACCATAACTTTGCAGCAGCACCGTCACGCGGGCCTGGAGGATGTATCTACCCACTGACACAACTGCTCCCCTCACTGCCCGTCACCATGAACCCTCACACAGGGGCCTCCACAGCGGCCTCGCCTGCCCCTCACCCCCTCGCTACTGAGACAACCTCCTGTGGGGCACACAGCTGGTGCCAGTGCTGACCCAGCTGTGGGAAAGGCCTCTAGTTTTCTTAGGAAACAAAGCAGAACTCGATGCAACCAGGTGCAAAAAAAAAAAAGGAAACCACCTCCACCCTCTTAGGGGGCCTCAAATTATAAGAAAAACACGAGGTGATTCATGTGGCTGGGCTGGGCTTTTCAGAGAGAAAGCTTGGGCTCCCGAGCAGAGATCTAGAAAGTTCCAATTAAGCCGCTTGACATCACCCAGCTCCACAGTGAGCTTCAGGCCTAAGCACATTCATCAGAAATGACTCTGTGGTTAGTTTATACACATGACATCATGCAGTCTGAGCCCGGTCCTTCCTCCCACTGACAAGTGCTCATTGTCATCTGATTTCGTTCACTTCCAGTTCTTGCCGTGATGCTGAAGAAAATAAAGGGGCCGCGGCCTTGTTCGAAGCCCCTGGGGACCTGGAGCTCCCCGCTCTGAGGGACCCCGACACTGCTCCAGCAGAGACCCCACTCAGCGAGCCACGGGCGGTACCTTGGAGAAGACGATGGTGTCCACGTCTTCGCTGGGCGAGTGGAAGAGGTCGGAGTCACTCCCGGATTCTCTTTTCAGTTCACCTTCTGTGGGGGCACACTCCCGGCCCAGCCCAACACCCAGGAAGTTCTCACATTCTGAAAAAGAGACCATATTCAATCAATACGTAAAAAGGTCCGTTTCTTTTCATTCCAGCAGTCAGACCAGGGGCTGCAGGGCTTCGCTGTAACGGGGCTGCCAGGCAATGGGCTGAGCCTCATACAGTAACAAGAGTGTCGTTTCGCCCAGCCAGTGTGGCCCAGTGGTTCAGCATCAACTATGAACCAGGTCACAGTTCAATTCCTGGTCAGGGTACATGCGTGGGTTGCAGGCTCGATCCTCAGTAGGGGTTTGTGCAAGAGGCAGCCAATCAAGGATTCTCTCTCATCACTGATGTTTCTCTCTCTCCCCTCTCCCTTTGTCTCTGAAATCAATAAAAAAACAAAAAATCACGGGTCTTTTGGAGTGCCCCGCTACACACACACACACACACACACACACACACACACACAGTTCAGAGAGTGTGGTACCTTGGGTGGAGCTGGTGGGTGTGAGCTTTCCACTCCTTCCCCTTTCCACACGTGGAAAAATCAGAAACCCCGTCCCGTGGCTGAGGGAAAATGGGGGGCTGGCCAGGAAGAGAAAGGGCTGTCCCAGCCACTGTGCTGAGCCCAGCAGTCCAGCTGGCAGCCTCACAGAGCACGTCCCCGCTCCGGGCTGGAAAACACCAGCCCTAGACATTCTCATGGAAAAGCCACAGGAGGACCCAGGGGGGCCCTCGCAGCAACTCCTCCCCCAGGAGAGAGCCCCCACCACGGGGACCACTGACCCAGACGGAGGAGCGTCGCTGTGGGAGATGCTGGTGCCTGCTGAGCCGGGGAGGGGGACAGAGCAGGGGAACCAGGAGAAAGGATAGGAAAGGACTTGAAGCCGTTATGAAACCCCACAATTGGGGGGGGGAGGAGGGTTAAAGGCAAGCTAACCCACACCCCAGCTCACGTGTGTTGGTAAGTTTTCAAAATGAATTAAAATCTTCCCTTTCTTCCTACGTGTCCCCTTCCTAATGAATAAGATAGAGCAGCGCATGAAGGTAGAAGAATGGGCACTAGCCTTAGAGTTAGACTGACGTGGCTTCAATCTCGGTCTGACCACTTATCGCCAGGAAGATCCCAGGCAGGAAGTCACTTAACCCCCTCAGTCTCCATTTCCATAGCAGTGAAATGGGAAGGTGGGGAGCTCCCTCAAGTAGCTGTAGCGACAGTTAGAAATGATTTATACACACAGCCATCGGAGCTCTGCCCCTCGCACACAACAGGCGTGTGATCAGCTCGCTAATGAAGTCAGGGCTTCACTGACCTGTAACGTGTGGCTCAAGGAGCGTTCAGTCAGGAGGCCTTGAGGTGGGCCAGACCGTTTTATGACCCTTACACAAATGTCAACAACTTCTGTGTCCTGAGCCATTAGCTTTTTCACAGCGAGCAAAACGTGGACTCTTAACGATGCTATCTAGTCATCTGGGTATAAAATTATATGTATGCAAACAAATTATAGTCGGGTAGGGTAGCGTAGGAACATACCAGCAGCACTCACTGGGCTCAGCATAGTGCTTTCCTGCATTTATTTACCCAGAATTTTAAAATATACAAAGTAGTTTTAAAAGATACTTTCTCATTTGGTTTAACCCTACCGCTGCCCTGAGCTGTGTTCATAAAGCCAAAGAAGGAAACCTGCCTAGAATTCACCAAAAAAACTATGCCTGAAAGTAAAAAACCTCACGTCTTAAGTTCAGAAGCATAAACCAGATGCTGGATTTTGTTAAACTGAAGTTTAAAAACACCAAAGAGGTACGTTTGGGGTTGGAGTGTGTGTGTGTGTGGGGGGGGGGGGTGTCAAAGATCATTTCTTTAAACAAGTAAATGAAACTACCGCACATGGAGAAACTCCTGTGAATATTCAAACTGTGAGGCAACCTCATTCACCTTCACAGGACAGACAGTTCATTGCTTGGGTGGTTGGGAATAATTACACTTTTAGAAAAAGCCCCAGACAGCTTATGGGATAAAGTAAGGGGAAACTTTTAAATAAAAGATTCTAAGGGGCTGGACTGGGGACGTTTCAGCTGCATTTGAACAGAATCAATCTTATAACACACGGAGGCCCTAAACACAACTATAGCCTTTTAATAGCCTTTTTTTAAAAATATAGATTTTATTGATTTTTTGCAGAGAGGAAGGGAGAGAGGGATAGAGAATTAGAAACATCGATGAGAGAAACATTGATCAGCTGCCTCCTGCACACTGCCTACTGGGGATGTGCCCACAACTAAGGTACATGCCCTTGACCGGAATCGAACCCAGGACCCTTGAGTCCGCAGGCCGACGCTCTATCCACTGAGCCAAACCGGTTAGGGCGCCTATTAATATCCTTTAAGCGCTTTCTCCGCGTGGGACAAAAGTAGAGAAAAACACTCTGCACGTTTGTTTCCAACACTTCCTTTGGAGTGAAGTGAGTTGAGAATCAGTAGGAAAACCCTCTGGAAATAAAGGATTTAAAGTTTGTCTTTAAAAGTTGTTTTTGTGTGTGTTTTTTAAAATACATTTTTATGGACTTCAGAGAGAGGAAGAGAGGGACAGAAAAGAAATATCAATGATGACAGAGAATCACTGGTTGGCTGCCTCCTGCACTCCCCACACTGGGGATCGAGCCCACAACCCCGGCATGTGCCCTTAATTGGAATCGAACCGTGACCTCCTGGTTCATAGGTTGAGGCTCATCCACTGAGCCATGCAGGCCGGGCTGAAGTTCGCCTTTAAATGTAAGACTACTGCAGTACAACCACAGACAAATGGTTTCCAGAAAGGCCTTAAATGATGCCTCGGTAGTTTTTAAAGCAGGTTATTAAAATCTGGAAATGTAAACAGAAGTTCTGGGGGGAATGTAGACTTAAGAGGCCAGAATGTAATTAGCCAGTGTTCATGGCAGCTGCAGGGACAGGCAATGGCTACAGCTGCCCACCATGGCATTCGGGTGACACCCAGTAAGAAAAGCTGGTGATGCTCGGGAGGTCAGAGACAATGGCGCACAGAGACATGAGGGAACACGCCTTCGTCCCCATGAATTAGTGGCTAAACCTGGGTAAACAGTCGGGACTCCTCACTAACCACAGCCACGTGCTGTTATTACCAAGCAAGGTCTTGTTACTGAGGCCTCCTGAGCACTTAGGGAAAGACTCAGTTCCTGACAGTACTTCCAAAGTCTGTGATTCTTAATGGTCAGCTGCACAGGGGAGCAACCAAAGGAGCTCTGAAAGAGTTTGATGCCCAGGCCACACCCCCCAGAGCAAGTAAATCAGAATCTCTGGGGGTAGGACCCAGCCATCCGGGTATCTTAACGCTCCCAAGATACTTTTTTTTTCTTCATTCTGGAATGTGAAGCTGTTTTTAATTACAGTTGACATAAAATATTATATTCGTTCCACGTGTACAACACAGTGATCTGATATTTATATTCCTTACAAAGTGATCACAGCATGAGAACTCTAGCAACCATCTGTCGCGGTACAAAGTTATTGTGGTACCACTGACCGTATTCCCTATGCTGTCCATTACATCCCATGACGTACTTACGTTATAACTGTAAGGTTGCACCTTTTGATCTCCTTCACCTTTTTGCCCAGGCCCCCATCGCTCAACCCTGCCAAGATACTTTCAATGTGTAACTAAGATTGAGAGCCACAGATTTAGTCCTTCACAATATAGATTTATAGTTTTACTGGATTAAGGAATTGTATTATGTTATTGTGTAGCATGCTAAGGAAGAACAGATCTCCAAATCGAACGACCTGGTGTTGGAGTGGAACCGTGGCTCTAGAACATGTGCATTTTGGACAGCGGTGTTCAAGCGAGTCGGAAGGGAAACCCCTGCTTACCTGGGCTCTGCGGGGGAGCCAGGAGGGAGGCTGCATCAGCACACGGCTCAATCGTGCACCAGCTTTCCCGGTTTATCTGGAGGAAAGAAGAGAGACTGAGTTTCAGACAGTGAAGCCATGGGGGATGCTCTTCCAGCAGCTGCAAGTGCACATACTGCTCCATCACGCCCATCCTTTTCTTTGAAACTTTACTGCAAAGTGGGTAAAATTATTTTAAGAAAAAATACGTTTTCACAATACACACAAGGCAATCGATAATTAATGCTCTGGAGAGATTTTTGATAAAACTTAGGCATATAAGAGTCATTTTCACACCTCTCTCCATAATTGCTAAAACAAGTAGACATAAAATCCGTAAGGATACAGAAAACTTGAAAGACATTATCAACCAATTTGATCTAACAAACATACAGAACACTTCCTGCAACAATAACAGGACACATTCTTTTGGAGTGTGCATGGGAGATAGACCGTATTTCGCAGAAATCAATGCGGTAGAAGAGAGAGAAACAATAAAATAAATAAAAATCAAAAGGTGATTTCCTTGAAAAGATCAACGATACTGCTAAAACTCTAGCTAGGCCGAGCAAGAACAAAAGTTACAAATTATCAATATCAGAAATTAAAGGGGGACATTATCACAGAACCTATAGACATTGAAAAGATAACGAAGAAATACTATGGACGACTTTACTGCCTATCATTGTAACCCAGATTAGAGATCTTGTCCTTAGATGTGTTTGAGACGCATAAAAAGCCCAAAGGTGTAGAAACAGGAACGAAGAATGGCTCTGAGTACACACATGTAGCACATCTGTTGTCATGTTAGTCTCCTTTCCAAAAGGTGACCTCTGAGACGGGGTTTTTTACATGAACAAATAAGCCAGTTCCTTGTACTATCAACACCCTTCTTAGCCGGCTCCGAGACGGGGCTTGGCAAAAGGTTCTGACGGCCAAATCAGGACTAGGGGACACGATAGAAAGAAACCATCGTGTTGAGACTACTAATAACCTGAGTTTTAAGAGAAAAACAAAGATGATGATGATGATGCCCTCTATCCAGATTTGCCCTGATGGAATCTGTCAGCCATGAGGCAAATACAGGACTGGCAACAGATTGAATGGGCCGAGGAAGGAACAGTTCAAGATTATTCCCAAATGTTTGAGCAAGTAGCTTGAAATGAGGAAAACAGAGACTTGGCCATTAGATATCCGTATCTTCTGGAGGGTAAGTTACCAAAAACAGAGTTTCTGGCTCTGACCATGTTCATGACTCTTTAAATAAAAAAAAGTCTTTTGTTCATATCGTCTCCGTGACAGAAAGATCATGGCCACTGCAGGTATTCACATCCACAGTTCTGGTAAGTTCTTGCGCACGTGCCCAGGGGTAAGAGAAGGTACTTCAGAAGAAAGGCCAGACCCTCACCGGACCCCGCCCACACGCTGTTTTCATGCCCTGGGACCCCTTGCGATTCCATAAATCACACCCACGTTGCGTTCCCATCAGGCTGAAAATAGAGCTGTACATATTTCCAGCGCAGAGGGAGCTGGCTTTTGTTTTTGGCAGCGTGTCTGCTACTGTTTATATCCGAACATCCTAATAATACAGCCCACGGTTACACCCAGCCTTCCCAGCCGCTGCCCCTATTTACTTCCTCTGCATCTGTCTCAGGAGATCCAGCCAGAGTTCCAACTCTGAACAAAAGGAAGCAGAACCCACCATCCGGACACGGGAGCCAACCCTTGAGTCAGTCTTTTCAGGGAATCAGACTGTCACTGAGCAGATGCTGTGGCCATCTTCAAGGCTCAGCCTCCGTACCTTTCATTGAAGGCAATGAGGAAATCTCTTAAAGCAAGCCAACTTTTCAAGGATGTATATTTCTCTGGAAAGTAACACTGTCCTTAAAGACAAACTACTCCTTTGGCTTTAGCTCTGAGGTCGAGTGGCCTGCCCAGACATCATGAATAGGGCGGAGGGGGTCCTCTGGAAACACTTTCTTTCAGTGCACACACAACATGGTTGCGCATCTTTTAACCAGCCATCGGGAACTCTGAATTACTGCCTACAAAGTATTAATGACCAGCTACAAAGTATGCTCATCAAACACGAGAAACCAGGAACCTAAAATTATAGTAAAACAGAAATGGCCCAGGACTACCTCAGTTCAGATCGCCAGTGAATCCTAGAGTCTGACCCTCTTCTGTCTTGGCAGATGGTAGTTCTGCCCAGTTGCTGATCCTTGCTACCCTCTTGTTTAAGAACGGCCTCAGGAATGCTTATCATGTCAGCTACAGGCAAAAGCTCCTGTCATTCACCAACTTGGGGGGTCAACGCTAGCTTACTAAAGGAAGTGGAGGAAAATAGGCATGTAGATACCAAGAGGATTCTGCTAACAATGAAAATTATTACATATCCCAGTTTGAGAATGTGATTTAGCATTGCCAACCATTTATCCCAAGAGCCTAAAGTCATAGGCATTAGGAGAGAGGAACCAAGGGATGGTCACTTAGTGAGGAAGAGGAATGTGTATGTGTGGACTTGGATGGGGGACCGTGGAGGGTGGTGACAAGAAATACTATCAACTTATGTGTTATTATTTGGGGGGGGCAGGATTCAGAAAGGAAGTAAGATTTGGGATGCTGGGGTTGATGGTGAGAACAAGAGCTGACCTGAAGATAAAGACCAATGTACGTAGCCTCAGGGGAATCTAAGGCCTGATGCAGAAGAACTACCCTGAAACTATACAGACCTGACAAAGGGAAGAGAGACCAGGGTGCAGAATAGGCCAATATGCAGGGGACGTAAGACAGGATGGGAATTCTGAAGCTAATCTACAGTGATTGTTAGGATGCCAATGGCAGGGACTGGAGCTGTAAATGTGTAATACCAAAATGATGGGCTCAAAATCTCAATTTTATGATTATTGTCATACTTCATCTCTGGGATGGTTACCTTATCAGGACACTGAATACAGTTTATAGAAAATGATGCTTATGAATCCACACTTACAAATCTTAAAAGATTAACTCACTCAATTAGCAAATACCTAGTATTTTTATTGTTGTTGTTAATCCTCCCGAAGGATATTTTCCCCATTGCTTTTCAGAGAGAGTGGAAAGGAGGGAGGGAGGGGAGAGAAACAGAAGAGAGACACTTCGATTGGTTATCTCCTGCATACGCCCCACTTGGGAGTGAGGGTGGGGATGGAACCTGCAACCCAGGTGCATGCCCTTGACCAGGAATGAAACTCTTCCATGTGAGGGCCGACGCTCTAACCACTGAACCACGCCAGCCAGGGCCTTACCAAGTATTTAATCTGAATCAGGGACATTGCTCTGTGTGCTTAGAAATGTCTAGTGAACATATGAAAAAACTTCAAGCTCCTTAGTTTGAAAAGCAAACTTCCAGAGATAAAAATAGATTGCAAACATACACATGATCACTTGAGATCTGAAGTATACCCAATACCATTATCTTTTTTTAAAAATATATTGTTAGGGATTTCAAAGAGGAAGGGAGAGGGAGAGAGAGACAGAAACATCAATGATGAGAAAGGATCATGGATTGGCTGCCTCCTGCACTCCCCACACTGTGGATCGAGCCCGAAAGCCAGGCATGTGCCCTTGACCTGGAATCAAACCTGGGACCTTTCAGTCCGCAGGCTGACGCTCTATCCACTCAGCCAAGCCAGCTAGGGCCCCAATACCATTATTTTTTAAAAACACTAATTAAAGATAATGAAATTCAAAGTGGAAGATAATTGGAGAGCACTTCTGAGTAATTTTTTAGAAGAATTATAGGGAAAATCTGCTACAACTTGTGTGACAAACTGCAAGTATAAGAGATGGTGCACCTGTCCAAGTGTTTACAGAAGGCAATGTCCTGAGAAAGAAGTGATGGTTTAGTTTCTAGGACTTCTCCCAACATGAAAGGTCTCGGACAGAAAAAACATGAATTTTTATATATAAATAACAACTGATACATACATATTCATGTAATAAAAGGAACTGGTCGCCTCAAAGAAAAGGTCCAGGATAGCAAGAACATGGACTCTGAAAGCAATCGGATCTGGGGCTGCATCCTACCAGCTATTGTGTATGAGCCATGAGACCTTCAGAAAATGACTATCGGAATCTGTTTTTCCGTAAGTAAAACGAGACTAGGAATGTGAAAAGTAAATGCCCGTATCTCCTATCCACCCCCTTCTTCCCACTGTGACCACGAAAGCATTTTATGGGGCCGGGACTCCCACAATGGCAGCCTCGCTGATGCCCACAGTCAGAATGACCCTGTGTAAACATACGCTGAGAAGTGCTGTAGCCAAACAAAGCAAATTCCTCACCAGGGCGGTCAAGACCTTGCTTTTCCAGGTCCCCACTGCGCCTCCAGCAGCCCTGCGCTCCCCACTTACCCAGGTGCTCCTGTCACATGGCCCAGCCATTCCCTCCCACTTCGGGGCCTGGACTTGCTGTTGCTCTTTCTAAAACCCCTTCCCCTTGGTGTAACAGGCATGTTCTTATCCTGAAGGGATCCGGTTTTGTTTTGTTTGTTTTTTTAATGACATCACCTGTGAAGGATCTTTATCTAAAACAGGGCTTGCCTGGCCGGCATGGCTCAGTGGTTGAGCATTGACCTATGAACCAGGAGGTCACGGTTCGATTCCTGGTCAGGGCACATGCCCGGGTTGTGGGCTCCATCCCCAGTGGGGGGTGTGTAGGAGGCAGCCGATCCATGATTCTCATCATTGATGTTTCCATCTCTCTCGCCTTCTCCCTTCCCCTGAAATCAATGCAAATATTTAAAAAAATAAAACTTTAAAATCGCATCTATGAGGCCAGTAAGCCTGTGATTTTGCTCCACATAAAGGTTTTCATGCCCAGTTCGAGCACAGAGCTCCTCACATTTTAGCCTTTTTAAAATGTATGACATTCCTATGAGACTGAGATCTTCTCTCTCCCCTTCCTCTTGTCCTTTTCCCTCTCCCCTTCTCCCCCCCCCCCACATGTAAAATCATGGAGAGTCAAGCATATAAAGGTTCTAAACACTAGGCTCTCCCTAGTGTCTGAGGACAAAAGTTTTAAAACACGAGTATGATTTTGTAAAGGAAATCACATTTCAGAGAAACTAAAATGATTATTATCTTGGAGCAACTTCAAAATGCCCAGTGACCAACTGCTCCCAGGCCAGGCCTGGCAGGTCAAACCACCACCTGGGAGCGATGACAGAGGGACAATGACACCATCACACACCTGTCCCAGCCCCTCGTCCAATGTGGTATTTCACTGGCTCCCGTGTCGATTCTTCTGGGCCCATTATTGGCCTCAATGGACCAATGAAAAGAATGAGGGTGCCTCAAGCAATAAACTGAATTGATAAATCGATAACATTGCTCCACGATTTCCTTGACCAGGGCAATGCGTTACACTTTGCCTGGCTGCCCAGCTCCGTACTCACTCAGGGTTAGGAACTGAGGTTCCTTTTGGCATCTCTGAACCACTTGGGAGGCTTCCAATTTCTCCTGCTTTTGTCAGAAAAATGCTAAACTTCCAATAAGCACGCCATCAGTCATCCAATATTCCCAGACTCCCAACTTCTGACTGGAGGAGTCCTTACTAATTTTAGATCCCAGGATGCCTTCTGTGAGCAATTAGCCCTCCAGAGGCTCCACCCCCGTCCTGCTTAGACACCTCACACTGAGCAAACAAACACGGCTATCAACAGTCTGGGGCCGGACCCGAAAAGCAGTCAAGCCAAGCCAACAGGACCACGTCGCCACTTAGTAAATACGTTGATTGGAGAACCTTCCAGAGTTGTGAGCGAAGAGATGGCAGAAACAACAGAAAAGGCTCTGACAAAAGACAGAGCGACTCAGAGACAGAGGCAGCCGGAGAAAGATGCCCAGACGGATGGGGGCGGGGGTGGGCGGTGAGGGGGCAGGGATGACAGGGACGGAGGGACAGACAGGCATTGCAGGAAAGAGCAACTCTAAAGAGGAATCTCTCCCTTGGACATTTTCAAGAATAGGAGGTCCTCCTATTTAAACAGTAAGTGGCTCACAGCTGATTCTCAAGTCCCACTGGTTTTGTTCAGATAGTCCTTTATTTTATTCATCCTCACCCAAGGACATTTTTCCCATTGATTTTTTTTTTTTTTTTAGAAAGAGTGGAAGGGAGGGGGAGAGACACACAGAGAGAAACATTGACGTGAAAGAGACAACACATCGATTGGTTATCTCCTACACTCATTGGGGGCTGACCCTGCAACTGAGGTACATGTACATGCCTTTGACCGGAATTAAACCTGGGACCCTTCAAGTCCGCAGGCCGACGCAAACCAGCTCAGCTGGGACCAGATATTCCTTTAAGAATCCTAAAATCGCCAACCCGATCCCCCCACCCGCAATGCTCACACATCCTCCTCAGCCCGTCTCCCTGCAGGTGGCCAGGGGCGCAGCGATGGGATTCCAGAGGAAAGAGCCTGAGAGGTGGCCTTACCTTCAGCAACACCACGTCCACAGTCCTGTCCACCTTGGAGATGTCACACAGGCTGTAGCGCCGCTTGTGCCGCTCGTACATTCTGACCGAGTGCAGGAGGGAGGAACAACGCCGATGTGCCGGGGTCACTGGGGGGACCAGCGCACCCCGCCAGTCCCGAGCTCCAAACTCCTCCCGGTGGCTGCAGGGGACCGGGCCTTCCAGACGGCGCTCTACGCAAAACCCTCCAAGGGCCAAAAAGGAATCAAAAAGAACCCAGCGGAATCCACTTCCCTGAACTGACCCGGAACTTTCTGACAACTTCGGAGCGCCGGGATAATGAGTTTATAATTCATAATAAAAACAATGCATGCCTCCTGGTGCTATACTTTATGCAGATCTTGGCTGCGAGAGAAGCACACGCTGTTTCCATCCCTGGTGATAACTCCAGTAGAAAAATTAAGAATGAACTGGCTGAGCATAATGGCCGGCGCACGTGGGGGAAAAAACCAGAGCAGGCAATACAAATCCAGTACGTACTCGGTCAGGAAAAGAGAAAAAAGGGAAGACAACGCTACTGCAAAGGGATGGCATAAAAAAAAAAAAAAATTCCCATTAAACTGTTCTTGCTTTAAAAAAAGAGAGAAGGAAAATCAAATTTTCTTTATGGAAGAAAAAAGCACAAGCCTGGAGATCCGTCTGAAGCAAAAGGCTTTCAGGGCCGCGTCTGCTCCCAGGCAGCAGGGCTGGGTTCTGATTTTAGTTGAAAATATGTAATGACAGCAGCGGAGAAAAGGCCCCTCCCCCTGCCCCCTCCCTCTCTTTAGGGCGCTGGCCCTGCCCGAGCCCAGCCGGTCCTCCCTTCTCCTCACTCACAGGGACGTCAAGACTTGCCCTTTCAGCTCCGCACCAACAGCCTCGGAGGCTTGAAAACCTAATTGCAGTGGTGGGAGCATGATTCACCCGCGAAGGAAGGAGAGAAAAACAAGGCTTCCTTTTCCAGCGCTTCCCCCTCCTCCTCCAACTGTCCCTGTGAGCAGGCTCTGCGGGTCCAGATGCTTCGATGTCAGGCAGGAGTGATGGAGGGAGGGGTGTCACCCTGAACACCACCAGCATGTGCAACGCGCTTCTCTCTCCCTCCAAGTACAGAGAATTGAAGCTACCCAAGGCACACACTGTAGCTCCTTGCCAAACGCAAACCAGTGATTTAACGTGAGAAAAATGTGAGCCAAATATTTCAGGGTTGTTTCTCTAGGATCCAGAAGTGGCCACAAAGGTGTCCGACAAGGTTTAAACATCAGCTTTTTACTTTTTTGTTTTTCAAGGGGGTTGATGAACAGAAGGGGGCTTTAAAGAGAATACAGAGGAAAGCAGGAAAATGAATGGGGACGTGTGTCAACGCTTTTTGTGACTAAGGAAGTCACCTGGCTGGGACTGCTCTGCCTTCGAAGCGTTCATTCACATGCAGGGAGCCCCGTGCAGCCCTGTGCACGGCTGCTACCCATTTGCCTGTTTTTTACTATTTGAGACCTCGTTAGCCCCACCCTTTGGAACATTCTCCGGGGCCAGACCTCTTCCAGAATTCGCTCTCTCACTCCAGACATTCCCTCACTGAGGTTGAAAATGATTTGGGAGAGAAAGGAGGAAGGGAGGAGGCACTGGGGGAAGTAAAGGGAGAAAGAGTGAAGAAAGAAATAGAAAGATTTGTCTCCTGGGGCATTAGCCTGATTTTCCTCAACTGGCCAGGTGTCCTAGCTGGACCTGGAGGGTGTGAATGAGGGGGTTCAAGTGCCACAGCAGCAAGGAAGAAAAGAGACTTACTACCATGGGGATGGCAAACAGAGCTGGAGAGGGGTTTTTCAGGAACTGTATGTACAAGGGGAAGAGACGTCTGATGAGTCACCATTTCCCCAGGCCAGGCATTCACTTGTTAACTAGCTCAAAGGACAGGAGGCGGCCAGTCATAATGCCAGCATTCTCCATCTATATGCTAACTCACAGCTGCAGCTATAACCACTCAGAGCCCCGACCCCCCAGCCCTACTGCTCTGGGAAGGATCCCCCAGCCTCACTGCCAGCCCTCACGGCTTCGACCCTCCAGCCCTCACTGCTCCGGAGAGCAGACAGCCTCCCTCCCCACGTGCCCCAGGGGGCCTTGGCTCCGTGACATCCCCAACATGTACAGTGAGACAGGGGCGCTGCTCATCACAGTGATGATGGGGACCAGCAGAAACAAGATGATTAGGGAAAGATTCAAAGTTGTAAGTAAAAGTCTTGCTCAGGCTTATTACCGAAAGGGCGGGGACCTGGTCAGCAATTTACAAATACTTTGAAACCATGTGATCTAAGGCACCAACGGGAAGATCCTTTAGGCTTCAGTGTATGAAAAATTGAATAATGTATTATCTTTTCGGTACGAGCTTTCACCAAGCTGTAATTTAGCACTCTTTCCCTTCCCCATATGCACACAGAGCTGCCTCCCCTCTGTCCTCAATATGGTTTATTCCTCTCTGCCGCTCCCTCTTCTGTTTTAATTAGATTCAAATGTTTCCTGCTTCCAAGGTTCCCAGGCATCTCTCTAGGGACCAGATGCTTTAATCACAATAAAGCCTTTCTACGCCCAGCCTCCCCTATTGACATAAATGTACATAATCTATACTGATTTAACAGCTATTTTGTGCCGTGCAGTGAAGGCAAACAAAATAAATAACAAGGTTTGTCCTCAAGAAGTTTATATAATTAGAGAGGAATCTGCTTCAAAATAATATAATTATCTGAAATGGCCCAGATTACTGTTTTGAGACATATAGATGAACCTTTTCAATTTCTGACTGTCTGCTGGCTTTGTGCTACCCGCTGCGAATGGAGATTTCTTACTTTTTCTGGACACATAAATGTATTTCAACGATTTGGAATCGTCTTTACGTATTCTGTTCCTTCTTGGAGCAGAAATGCCCTGGGTGGGGAAGAGTCTGTTTTTCTCTCCCCTCTGGATCGGATCAGCACTCCCCAACAGGAGACAGACTCCGTAGTCCTGTGCTTTTGCTGCTGATGTGACAATTCCAAGTTTTTATCAAAAACATCTGGACCCACTGAACAGTTATTCTGTTAGAATTTTGAAACGCCGCAACCAATCAGTTCAAATCCAAACTAGAGCTGAGAGTTACAAATTTTCGTTTTGAGAATGTCCCCTCTTTCCTTTAATTTTGGGAACTTGTAATTATGTAATAATCTATGTATTATTTACAATAGTAGTTATTTACAAGATTAATGATACCTCCTTCTCTCTGTGTCCTTCTATCCGCAACAAGGGTTTCCAAATTCCTCAACAGAAGAACCAGTGCTTTTAGTCTGTTCAGACCACAGGCCCGACATGTGGTCTTAAAATTCCAGAAAATGAAGAATAACAGTATTTTATGCATTATTATTTATAGCATTTCTGTTCAAGAATTAATTTTTCTCCTGGTTTATTCAATGACAAGATCTAACCCCCTACTAGAATTATTTAACCTTCTTACAGGGCACCTCTATTTGGCTCCTTTTGTTCCAGTTGGGGCAGAGCCCTGCCTGAGTCCCACAGTCGGTTCTGCGTTAGGGCGCCACCTAGTGGGTGTGCTGAGGATCCAAACAGAACGCTCAAGGCCAGTAAAAGGAACAGCAGCATATGACTGGGCCCTGGTTAAGTGACTCACCCACCAGTGACTCATTTAGTCTGCAGGAACACCAGGTAGGAGGGTGAAAACCAAGGGTTCTTTCCATTCTGGGGTGTGCCATTATCTCCCTGAGCGACCTGGGACAATTTCGCTGACTCTCTGGGCTTAGGTTTTCAAAACTGAACACTGAGAGCGTATGGACACTGTAGCATACCTGACATTCCTTCTTGATCTGATACCGTCAGTCTGAGACTAAGAAGTATTTATCACCTGACATATAGCTAGCTCATAGGAACGGAGAAATCTGCTCAAAACCTGTTGTAGAAAACATGCAGTATATTCTTGCACAATTACATCTGCCACCTCCACTTTTCACATGAAACGGGAAGGAAGGAGAGGTCTACCACAGTTGACAATTTTCATCGATCTATGATTTCATTAACTTAAACATGTGAGTCATTCAGAGTTGCACATCTGTTGGCCAAATTGACTAGAATACAGGTGAAACATTAGCCTCCACTTGAGCGACTCCAGGCTGCTTAGAATAACAGTCTGCGTAAAATATGATGTTTGGAACTTGACAGGAGAAAGGGGAACATTATTTACAATGACTGCAAAGGCACTGTTTCCATCTCGGGTTTCCTTTTTAATCTCAGGGTAGAGGTTCAAGCACTACTGGTTCTGGCATTTCTTTGACCAGGTTTGGAGGCCCCAAGGTTAAGAGACTGAAAGGAGAAGAGGAAGGCCTTTAGGGTGAGCAACCAGCTACTCTTTTCAAATCAGTCTAGACAGCAGCAAGCCACTCCATTGCTTTAACCCTCTAGGGCAGCGGTTCTCAACCTTCCTAATGCCGCGACCCTTTAATACAGTTCCTCATGTTGTGGTGACCCCCAACCATAAAATTATTTTCGTTGCTACTTCATAACTGTCATTTTGCTACTGTTTTGAATCGTAATGTAAATATCTGATATGCAGGATGTATTTAGGCGACCCTTGTGAAAGGGTCGTTCGACCGCCAAAGGGGTCACGACCCACAGGTTGAGAACCGCTGCTCTAGGGCTTTGCAAGAAAAAACCTTAAGACAATTTAGCTGGGAGCTAACAATGGCAAAAAGAAATTAAGATGGGAGAATATAAGAAAAGACATAGCTTTAAAAAGGTCTCTTTGCAAACTTGTGCTCCTTACAGGAGATGTTATTGTCTACAGACGAGGAGAAGTCACACTCAGAGTCTAAGTCAGCTGTACCAGGGCACACAGCTCATCAAACGAGTTTGCATTGAGTTCTGTAAATCTTTCTTTCCACCAAATGTCTTTTTAAAAAATACATTTTTATTGATTTCAGAGAGGAAGGGAGAGAGGGAGAGAGAATTACTGATCGGCTGCCTCCTGCACGCCCCCTACTGGAGATCGAACCCGCAACCCAGACATGTGCCCTGACTGGGAATTGAACTGTGACCTCCTGGTTCATAGGTCGAAGCTCAACCACTGAGCCACGCCGGCAGGGCATGGAGCAGTAGTTCTTTAAAAAGGTCAACATGGACCAGGAACGCAGATGGAAGAGTCAGTCTTGGGAAAAGAAGAAAAAACCCTCTTCATTTGAGGCAAAGGGAAAGAAGTAATAAAAGACAGATATTTATAGATTTTTTTCCTGGCCAATCCCCAAGTGCCTAATTTGGACGGAACTTCTAGTGTCCTGAACAATCCCCACCAGAGGCTGAAATGCCAGTGACCATTGGGATAAAGAGCACTGAGCTGAACTCTGGGAGAAAAGCCCAGCAGCATGACAGCCTCTGTGGCCTTTTCTCACCTCTCCTTGGACCTCCTCTCCTGCAGCTGCACAAGTCAGATGGCTGTGCTCAGACTGGATCCCACACCTGGCTGCCTCCATGCCCGTGCCCCAGCCCTGAGCACTCCTGTCACACGTGAAGCATCCATTGGTCATCAGTTAGCTGGGTATCTGTTATACCAGGCTCTTGAGCAAGATAGCTCCTATTTCTTTGGATTTCCTTCAGGTTCTTGGCCTTCGCATTCAAAATGGTTCCTGTTTGAATGAATAAACAGCCATCGCTGTCTGAAAAGACGACATTCTC